GTTTTTTTTTTTTTTATTTCGGTGATTTTTCCTTAATATAGTAAAAAAGTAAAAACCCCAGTGGTGAATAAATACCACCAAAAGAAAGCTCTATCTGTCCCCAAAAAAGGGTATAAAATTCATTTCAGTACAGCGCTGCATGACGGAATAAATGTCAGTCAAAGTACCGCAGCGCTGAATACTGAAAAATGACCTGGATGGGAAGGGGGTTTAACACCGCGGATGTCAACTGGTTAAAGGCACGGGGAATCTTGTGAAAATTGAGGGCAAGAAGAATGCAGCATGTTATCAGAAAATACTGCCAGACAATTTGCATTCTTCTGTGTCCACAAGTACATCTTCTTTACTGACGCATATCATCACATACAAACCGAAACGTTTCGGGGCCACGCAGGGTCCCCTTCATCAGGTTTAATATGACAAAACATGCTCATAATACACCTTATATAACCAAACATCATATGTAAATCAACCAGTGAGAAGTAGCCCAAAATCCCTGCCCCCAACCCTCCTGACATCACAATGATGTCATATTCCCTCCAAATACTAATATTTAAACAGTAATGAAGCATTGTATACTGTAATAATAGATATCCTATTAATACCTCTATAAATACGTTGGGTCATGACATGTGGATGTGTTGCAGCTGCTCAAAAGTGGTGTGTCGGAAACCTAAGTGACCCGAGTGAGCACCGGAAACACAATCTATGGATGTTCAGATACCAGTGCCAGTGCTTTGCCATGTACCATATGTACCATGGAAGAAGACATGTGGGTTTGGGAACTTGAAATGAAAGGAATGTTTTAATGTAAGAAGGAAAGTTTTCAACCTGCATCACAAATCATTATGTTTGAGGATCTGAACCAAGTGAATACTCTTCACCCTCCCCCCAGCGCTTTTTTCATGATATCATTCAGTGAAAAACCCAAAAGACTGTCTTCTACGAAGGATAGTCACAACAAGCCCTTCTTACACTGTTGTGCTGACAACCAAAATTGAAGCCAGATTGCTCTGCAAATTTGAAAGAAGATGATGATTAAAACAAAAACAGCAAGTACTATGAGCCACAACAGGTTCAAATCCCAGGCACAGCCATAGGTAACAGCATAACAAAATTCAGGGACAGGGTCAGATAAATTGCCAAAGCCCTGGTCATAACGCTTAACAAAGAATACTCAGGGAAAAAACAAACTGTCCTGTCCTGAATAGTGGGGACCTGTCCTCATTCAAACACAGTGAGGGTGTCACTGCTGACATGAAAAATGTCATGGAGAGAACATATATGTTCTCTCCATGACATTTTGTGGACATTGGCTGGCTGGAAGAGCTTCCAGGATTAAAAGAAGTCACACAAACAAATATTAAATTTTTATTTTAGCCCCTAGAGGGGCAAATTCATACATCACTTGGGCCTGTTCAGATCGGTGGCCCTATTGTGGAAAAAAAGCCTCTCTTTATTTATATTAATGCACCCCAGTCTGGAGCCTAAAATATGGGCATTCCCATGAGGGGCAGTACAGCCAGCACTGAACTCCGACCCCCCCCCTCTTCGCTGATGGTTCTTTTACTATTATGAAAACAATCAGCACTACAGGACTGTGTGATAGAGCTGCTGGCTGCTAGTACACATATAGGGCACTGGCAGCCCTATCACACTGCCTCAACAGCACTGAAATATACAGCCCGGCAGATATAATACAGCCCTGCAGCACTGAGTGAGGTTTCATGAATGAATGATCAGCCCAGTGACATACAAAGTACTGGACCTGACAGCACTGATAAAAGCTCACTCGGGCAGCTGTTGATAGTAGAGAGTCTTCTAATTGAAGCCAACAAATCAAGCAGTGTTATCAGACTGGTTCAGTTCACCTCTGTGGACTACAGAACAATTCCCCATTATTGTACAAAGATGA